TACCACTGCACTCCTCTGCTCCCAACCTCAGAAGGTTCAAGAAGCATTACCTCTGGGAGCCTGGGGGAAACTATAGGTACCACCGAATGTGCACGCACATGCTCTGCTGAATATGTGCACGGCTGTGTGTGCTGGAATGGGCTTTTGTAGGAGGGGCTCTCCCCTGCTGCTTTAGGACTCCGTCTAGAGATGCTGCATGGCCATGCTTGCTCACAAGCTCTCTTTCAGGTTAGTCCAGGCCAACAATGTAAACACTGTCCCCTTTAAAGTGGCGTCTTTATTTCTATACACAGCCTGGACAACCACACACAGCCCTGGTACTAGGGTACAGCTCAACAAACTCTTCATGCTGAGGAGGCAACAAGGTATCTGGTCATTAAAGTTAAGTGGGTTCTACATCCCTAAGAGTATTCCAGTAACCCTGAGGCACCGCTGAACCTGGGGTTCTTGTTCTTCTGTAAGGCCTGACTCTTAAGGCTCAAATTTCTGTTCCACTTTTCCCCTATACTTGACATGACTTGGAAGACTTACTGTTCCTTGCAACCAAAACAGCCTAACCAAAGCCCTTAAAAGTCACATGTATAACTAGTTTAAAATTAGGGAATGACCCAGGGCTTCAACTTCTGATGCAAAACCCCAAGACAAATAGGCTAAGAGGATTCCCCAAATACCAAGCAGTCTATCAATTAGAGATCATATCATTTTGTAACATAACCATATAAGGAAAGATTTCAGTTAAAAATATTGCTATGGTTGCTGATATACTGGTAAATTTTACCAATTAAAAATAATTTTACACTGGCACAAACAGGTCACTTTACTAAAAACCTCTTAAATTAACAGTACTATCTGACCTAGTTACCTAACATACATTTTACATTACCTGGCAACACCAACAAATTACTGATACAAATCACAATTCCAACCAAAACTTGAACCAAAAATATATTTAGTATTTGGGCATGCTTGAGTTATTTGTGGTCAAATGTTCATTAAAATAGCTTAAGCAATCTTAACAATTTTCTAACATATTTAAACGCTCATTTCTCCACATTGTTTAAAAAAAACACTATTACTCTGTTAGACAAGAAACAAAGCACAAGCCAACAGGCTCACCAAAATTATACTTAAATAGGGCAAGAAAATCTTCAACTTTGCAAAAATTATTATTATTACAGTAATAATTATTACAGTAATAATAATTAACAATCACTTAAATACGATTCAAGAGGAATCCCAGGTTGTTTTAAAAAAAAAACCTATGATCAACTAGAGCATAGCATTATCAGAAACTGATTCTGTAAGACAATACTGTATTGTTTCAGGATGTGTGTGTCTAATGAAGTTCACAGCTAGGCTACACTAATGACTCACTTAAGCATCTGAATTTTCTGCTATCTCAACCTTTAAATCAACTCCAAAAGTAGCTGCCAAAAGCAATTAGTAGGAAAGCATACTATTCCCAAAAGAACTTGAACTTGGTATATACAACTTATTTTACTATTAAATATTGTTTTGATTACTGAGATTTGAACAAGATGTTAAAGATTCAAAATGAATTTTAGAGTAATGGGTGCTTACTAAATCCAAAATAATGTTCAACATACACAGGTTTTTAGAAGGGCACAGATCATATTCTTGTGTTTTTACAGCATCTGGCAAATTTTTGTTCAATATCTGTTCAATATTACATATAATTACTGTAGGACCTGACAGCGATTACTGCTCCATTTTTAAAAACGTTTTTGACTGACCAATAAGCCAAAGTTGAAAAAGTAACTGGTACATTTTATTTCTTGATTTGGATTACCTATTTGTTATGAACTGGTTCTCAGTTACTCTAGTTTCCTTGCAACAAAACACTGGCAGAGAAGGTATTGGATTGAAATTACCTGACTCTGTTCCCACTGAAGAAATAATACATTTGATCTGTTCACATTTCATTGTAAAACTTAATAGAGATTATGCTTCAAGCTTTGAATGCAAACTGAAACAGAAATCACATTCCTAGGAGCAGCCAGTCTGGAACAGAAGATGTTTATCCTACACACCAAGGGGGACTTACCACCGCAAACCTAACAAACAGTTCATGCCATTTAAACAATTGAGATGGGTTAGGATGTGTGATGATAAAAATCCTTTGAGGCATTTATCAAGCAAATTATCTCTGAAACTGCACCTTGGTTTAGAAAGCTTGAGCAAGAATTTGGCCTTCTTCTATGTTTATCTGTGTACACACTCATTTCACATTTTCTCAGTCCTCCAATTTTATTTATTTAATCTAATCCACACAATAAGCCACCCTATCAGACTTAATTTTATTTATGTTTACATGATTATTGAAAACAACACTACTGCAAAATAGCTGATTTTAGTGAGATTTCCCCATCCCAACTCCTCCTCTAACCAGGTTAAATCTCTGAGAAACATCTTTCTGTCCAGTCTAGGGTTTTACTTTCTACAGGGTAGGTTTATTCGACTTTTTATTAATGATACTGAAAACTTCTTTTAAAGACTGCTAGTGTATGTACAGTTTCCAACACCTGGAATGCAAATAAACCCTTATTTTGTTTACTATTTCAATATAAACTATATTTCTTATAAAAGATGGAAGAGCATCAATTCAAAGGAGTCTTTGGAAGTCACAATGTGTAAATACTTCTGATAACAAAACAAATTAATGTCAAGACACAGCCAATAACATTATAAAACCTTGATGCAACCATGCCTGTCAAAGGGCATCTGTATTAGCAACTCGGGGAAGTGGCATTTGCAGAAAGGCACTACAACTGCGTTTAAAAGAAAATCATTAAGCCTCAGCCGTTATTTCCCTCCCCCATCCTCTTCATTTGGATCCTTCAAAGCAATTAACCAGTAGAAGGTGCTATTCTGCAACACACATGTATTCACACCAATCTCAATCCTTGGACATGAGCTGGATTTACCCCAAGTGGACTCTCAGCCTATTTCCTGTCCAGTGTTCAAAGAAGCCTTTACAGTAACCCCCAAAACAGAAAATCAGATCTTTTCTTATAACCCCTATTTACAAAAACAACAACACTGACAACTCAATAGCCAGCAAATCTGACCACAAACCATCAGACACACACACACACACACACACACACACACACAATTTTGCTAAATATTAACCTCAAATACAATCTTTATAATCTTAACTGAGACCATCTATTTCTACTTAGAAAAAATGACCCTGGTCACATTCACTACAAAAAGAGTCAAGTGAACAAATCACTGTCCCCAACAAAATCAGGGGCAATGAGAAATATGAAAGCACTGAGAGCTGAATACAAGGCCACAACATATAAAGAGGGATTTTTATCCTTACATATTCAAAAGAAGAAAGGGTAGCAGAAATCAGGGCTGAAAAGGGAAGAAAGGGAGATAGAGAACAGGAGTCTCTGAACATGTTTTTGAGTGTCCTTTAGTTTCTGATGTACTCCTCTGCCTAGCAAGGTTGCAAAAAAGGCCAGACAAGAGATGGGTGAAAGAAAGCTGAAAAAGAAAAGCACCCTCCCTTTCCCCTTCCTGTCTCCCAAAAAGAGCTGTGTTTGCCTGTGCAAACGTAGTCCCAAATATGGGAGAGAGAGAATGAATGTGTGTATGGAAGAACAATGAGCCCTCAGCCTGGTATTGTGTGTGTGTGTGTGTCTGTGTGTGTGTCTGCCTCTGCCTCTTTTCCCTTCGACCTTAACAACAACAGGGAGAGCTGGAAGCCAGCTTTCTACCCAGCCTAGGCCATCAAAACCAAAACTGGTTTATAATTTACACTGGAATTAACTCAGCAAGCAAATCCTTGGAAGGAAATATCTACCCAAAGATGATTTTATTATTGTATAGACCCAGCCTCTCTCCCCTCCCCCAACAGACTGAGACTAAAGAGACCAGTGTACACCAGACAAAAAGGTCTCTTTTTAAAGGGAAAGCAATTATCAAAACTATTTCAAAACTAAACATAGGATGTATTAATCTGTTACATTAAAATGTCTACTTTGTAATTCACCAAGTTCACCCTTTTACTAGTTATCTTTCTAGTGTTTAAAAAATTGCTTTGAAGAAAGCTATTTCAGGATTCATACAAAACTACTTTCTAAATGTACCTTAAAATAGCAACACATACTGAAACATTTAAAGCACCCACTTTCTCAAGGACACATTTTGCTTAAATCAATGTTTGAAGTCTGCGATCCAGAAAAATTGTAAGCAAATCTTGGAAAAGAGACAGAGGAAAATGACAATTCAACAATGAATCATTTTGTTTTCCTTTCAACAACTTCTCAAGCAACCAGTTTCAAAGGAAACCTGCAATACTTTCCCCTCCTCCAAACACACACACCCCAGTCTGCGTAAAACTACTTCTTTCCATAACCTTAAAAAATAATGATAAATAGAAGCCACCCTGCTTCAGAGAACAGAACTAAAACATGATAGTGAGAATTCTATTTTGCTGCAAGTGATTTCTGGTTTCGTAATTTTGTAATCACATACAGCAGAGACTAGAGACTTAGAACACAAAGAGGGAACCTTCCACCAATGTGAAAATGATACTTCAACATTAGTCCGCTCGGAAGACCCCCAAATCCACAGACATCCAAGAAATTTACAGTTTCAGTCCATGACTTCCTTCCCACAGTTCCGCCAATAATTTTGTCACATGAAAGAGTTTAACCTCAGACAAGTACAAGAAGCATGAATAAGGAGCCAAGAGAGAACAGGGGTCAGAAGGCACATAGGACAGTCCCTTGGCCCGGAGAGGACCAGAGAAGCCCCCGGCCCTTTCGCCCCCGCCACCCTCTTGCCCTGCCCTCGCCGGGCTCCCCTCCACTTCTGCTGTTTCCACACCCGCCTTTTCTTTCTGGCTCAGCCCCGCGAGTGGCTGCTTTCGCGGCCACCCTCCCTGCCCACTTAGCAGCCCGTCCCCAGGATGAGGGGCCGAAAGAGAAAGCCCAGGACGCGGCGCAGGCCAGTCGGAGACTTACCTTCCCCTGATGCGCTACACCATCAACAGGGAGGAGTTCTCGGCCCAGCTGCTGGGAGAGTCGGGGGGACGGGGCGGGAGGCCGCGGGAGGCTGAGCGGCCGCGGGGCGCAGGCCGAGAGGGGCCGCGGGGGCTACCCTGCCGTGACCTTTCCTGCCACTTGGACCTCAGCTCCCTCCTCCTCGGTCGGGCAAATCCTTCAGAGGCGGGAGCCCAGGATCATGTCTGGTTTTGTTTTTCGGAGGGCGAGGGGGCTCCCTGAGAATGATGGTGATTTTTTTTTTTTCCTCAACTAGGAGAGAAAATGAAGCAGAGACAATGTGGGGAGCGCGAGAGGGGGAGAGAAGAAGGGAGGAGGCGGGGACCGAAGCCCAGCGGGGCGAGCGAGAGGAAGAGGAGGATCCGGAGCGCGGCGGGCGGCTCGCGAGCGTCTGTGGGAGCAGGGGCACCTCCGCGATGGTGGCGGAGCGGCGGTGGGGCTGCTGCACGGACCCGCCGCCCACTCCCCGCTCGGGCCCGGCCCACCTCGCAGTATCGCGCCTCGCTATTGGCGTAGCGCGGCGTGACGCTCAGGGGGCTGGGCCAATGGGAAGCGGAAGGCAGGCGGAGGAGGCGGGACTTCTTCCTCTTTTTTTTTCTCTTTTTAATGAAATG